AGATCTGTTTGTGAGATGATATTTCTCATCAACAGGAGCTTCATTTATGAAATTATTAAGTTTTTCTGGCGTAAAATTTTCGCCCTTTTATTGCTGCATGTTTCTCTGATTGACTTTAAAGAAACGACCGTAATTTTGAATAATTCTCTATATTGAAGAATGAGACGATGCCTTATATTTAGTGCTGAGTTCACTAAAATATGCCAGAAGAACATTCTCTGTGAACGATGAAAATGTTCTTACTGCTACACCATTGTCGTTCTAGGTGACAACCTAGTTAGGTATAGTTATTAGTAGGCAGGAGCTTATTATACCTTCTCGCACAAGGTCGCCTACTAGGTTTTCATTTAGATCGACAATAATGCGATGGCTACACCAATCTTGAAATTTTTTGTAAACACCTTTATATTTATTTTGGGATTTTTCTGGCTATAGATTCTGTATGGTAACATTAGCTAATTGTCTTATTTCTGGATGTTTTGAAAATGTTGACATGAAGATGTTATTTTGAGACGTAATATGCACTGACCAAAGAGGTCTTTGAAGGATATTGAAGTATTGTTTTTGTTCTTCTGTGGCATTTCTTTGTTTGCCTACTGAGAGGTATCCCTGGGATGTTTTGGGATGTTTTAGAAATGTAGGCATGAGGATGTTTTTTTGAGGCGTAATATGCACTTCCCAAAGACGTCTTAGAAGGATATTGAAAGTATTGTTTTTGTTCTTTTGTGCCCTTTCTTTGTTTGCCCCACCACAACGTCTCATGCTTACGTCACAATACGATGAATTCTGATTTGTTTTCGATTTTGTTTTTCTTGTTCGCAATTGGCATTCGCGTTTGCAGCGTGTCACGCTTACATCACGCTGCTAACGAACAGAAAGGAATTTGGTGAAGTTTATTGTGTTAAAAGACTTATTTAGTTTGTGATAATGACCATCAGATGCAAGATGTGTTGTTCGGTGCCTCAGCGTAATCAATATATAAAAGTACGAATTCATCAATACACAGCTTCTCCGCAGTTGCAAAATTATGCATTGTGGAGAACATTTCAAAATTTGGGAAACCTATTTCCAATTATATGTCTGTGTGTAGTAAGCACTACTCAGAAACCGATTAAGAAGGTAATTTCATATCAAGAAAATATTTTTATTGTTGTTGTTGTTGTTCTATCCGTCATTCGGTTGCCCCCTTACGAGCAACCCTCAAAAGTCTTCGAGAGTCTTGTGCGAGCAAGGAATGACGGGGGCCTTACCTTTTAACGTGTGATCCCAAACACTTTCTTAGGGCCATCAGAAAAATTTCTGCAGTCGACGGGATTCGAACCCACGACCGGCAAGCGAATGCGGATTAGAATATGGACACTCTGTCCGCACGGCTACCTGGCCACCCAGGTTCAATCTATTTTCAATGCATTTTTTCATTCAAGGGAAATGGAATCCTAATGCAAAAGTTCATTTTGACAAAAGGCTTCAGAAAAGTACCTCGAAAATGTTTTTTTTTTCAGCGATTTAATGTGCGCAAGACGCGTTGAATATGTTCTGTTGTGTCCATGAATAGGCTTTAAAAAGAACTAGGGAAAAGGTAGTTTTGTGACATATCAAGGACATCTCGATAATTGCCGCCTGCGGCGGACATTGGCTGTTCTATAATAGTTCTATTCATGTGTGAAAAGAACATCGCAGTGGAGGTTCAATGTCTCGAAATCTCGTACTTTTAACATCTCTGAGATGTTTTTGTGCTCGCTGGGAGGTGTACATGATAATCCATCTTCACTATCTGAATTCATCTTTTTCATTCAATTGACATCACTCCCCTCAATAACAATAATAATGGACTGTTCTCTTTCGGCAAGGGCCAACTGGCTTGTACAGAAGTACTAAGCCATCTTGATTTTCGGTTCGTAAATAATTCCAAGAGCGTTTCCCGATGTAAGTATTATAGTGAGTTATTATTATTCCTTGCTCGCACAAGACTCTCGAAGACTTCTGAGGGTTGCTCGTAAGGGGGCAACCGAATGACGGATAGAACAAATAGAACAAATAGAACAAATAGAATTAGCGAAAATTATTATAACTCACGCTGTTTGTTTAAAGATACTATCAATTGTTCAAAAGCAGTTGAATCATTGATATATAATTTAATAGTAGATATAAAATCGATTTATCTTGAAAATGGTGTATCGGAACTAAACAGGTGTATAATTTTTTAGGTAAAACTTATGATATTTCATATTTCCTGGTCAGACTGCCGAAAATTGCATAGAAAAAAAGTTGGACAAAGAAATGCCCTTAGCCTCACCTATTTTCCACGCCCCTGATAAGAATTTCGGAGCTGAAAGGGCTGAACAGGCCAATCAGCCTATGCAGATGTAAGTTTCAAAATTGATATTGTCTACAGATATATAAATTTAATAAAATTTCAGCGTCGACATCAATGATCCTATTGAGATGTAAGTTGGAAAATTAAATCTTTCTATATTTACGAATTTAATGAAATTTTAGAAGTGATGATGAAGAACCAGAACAAGCCATCAATATGTAAGTTTGAAAATTGAATTTATCTATATTTATCAATTTAATGAAATTTTAGAAGTGATGATGAAGAACCAGAACAAGCCATCAATATGTGAGTTTTAAAATGGATTCTATCTAGATTTATGAATTTAATGTTACTTTTAGAAGCGATAATGATGATGATCAAATGGAATAGGCTGGGAGGAAATTCTTGCCGCTATACTATAATAACCATCCTTAAAACCAACTTGTAAGTTTCAAATTAATTCTATAGTATTTCCTCAAATTTTTTATAATTTCAGGGCATATCTTGGGGCAGCGTTCCCAAGTCGATCTTTGGTGGGGTATTAGTTCCATATTCCATATGGAGCTACTAGTCCACCCTAGATTGTAATAAGTAGTTATAATATATCTCTGTGAGAAACCCTCTACATAAAAAGGGTTAATGAACTCATAGGGTTGTTACCTCCTAGACATACGTTAATTGTTTGTTAAACTATTTTTTGATGAATAATGTTGATTGTTTACAAAACCAATTTTCATATTCATCAGCGTATGTTATAATAAACAGTTCACGATATGACTTAAGGTAGTTTTGGAAACACACCCACCCTGTATATACATGTAAAATACATCATCCAATAACTTCATATTTTCTATTCCTCCTGTATATCATGCATGCAAAATGAATTAATTCAAATAAATTTGCTTTCCCCGCTATTATATCTGTAACAGGAAGCGATAAGTACTATCGTTCCTAAGCATATCACATCCAAATTCTCAATACATTTCAGTCATTTCACAGTCTTAAAGAATAAAGTTCAAGTAAGTTTTGCGTGAGATCGGGACGTGTCCGAATTCATGTTATATTACTTTGATTTCTCAACGTGTCCTACAATGTGTGTGTGTATGTGTGTGAAAATGGATGATTTTCCTACGGATTCGTCAGTTTTTACGATTTACGATTAAATTGCCCCCTCAGTTTTTCCATACATTATTCAAAGACATTCATCGTCAAGAAGAGAAGCTGCATATAGATGAATCATACACCGATATCTGCGGTGCTTCTTTCAGACTTGAGGTATGTTTTTACTTATTCAAACGCCCTATATATGTACCCTCTTTCAGATTTGAACTCCGTTATGACTACTTTTATTGCTAAGCCCCACATAAAGTGTGAGACATCTTGAATATATTTTCCAATTTTTATTCTACTTGAACACCTAGTTCATTCATCTTGTTATTGAACTGATGACTTGGGAGGTAGCCGGCTTGCAGGTCGCCTGATCACGCGTCATCGATCTTCGATATCTGTCATCGGCCATTTGTCATACGTTATACGTTACTTGTCTAATATGTTCGATGTGCCCACCTAAAGTTAGGTCAGTACGTTTGTGAAGATATGATCCTTCTTCATATATTTGAGAAGAAGGAGCTCGATGGAAATCGAAGCTTATGAGTTTATTGATACCACAAACTTTTCTCCAAATGATATAAAACCAATTTTGTGTTAATTTTTTTATTGAAAACTCCATCATTTTGTGTTCACCCAATGTCAGTATCAAATTTGATTACTAATTTCATTACAATTTCTTGGAACGTTGCATAGCAACAAACTTTTTCTGCTTAGGCAGTAAAAGTACAACTTTCATGCCTGTTAAGTGGAAGGACAAAGCCACTATTCCTGCCGCTTGGAGAAAATAATAATTTATTACGGAAAAACTGAAATTGTGCCAAAAACTTTCTCAACAAATTCTTATAGTATTTTTCCCGTAGATTCGTAATAATCTATGGTAATCATCATCATCATTGGAACACCGTAGAATGGTCGGCGACCTTTCACTTTTTTATCGATACCACGGGAAATGTGCTTCGGAAATCTCTGCTATCATCCCTTCATTAGCAATACCAGTCAGATGAACTAGACAAGCCCAGTCAGCACATCCTTTCGTTGTCAACCTCGAAAGATGTCGAACAGCACTTTATCAAAACTCCTTCATCCATAGAACGGCTAGGCTCTGGAATTCATTGCCTGAGGAAGTATTCCCAACAACATATAATCTCCAGAAGTTCAAAAAAAATTCCAATACCTACCTCCTATCCCTATCCTCCCTAGGAACGCACGATGTTCTTTGAACATTATAGGGATTCATTTTCGTGCGCTCCAAGCGATAAAAAAAATATATATGAATTCAGATTTTTGATAATTTTTATAGAGGGTGTTATTCTCATAGTAACTCAACATAGGAAAAAATAATATTCCGGTCCTGATATTGGTTTCGTTCAGAAGGCAACTTGTTGAAGCCTTCGAGTTTAATTCATGTACCAAATTTGGACCTAATCGGGTAATTCCTGTAGTTAATAAGGCAGATTATTGAATTTGTTGATCACTCTGTATGTCAGTAACGAAGCAGTTTTTCACGGCATTTCACAATCATTTTGGCAGTCCCTAAAAGCCCATAAGTTTTGTATTTGTTTTTTTTTTTCAGAAAATTATGGCGTCTACACATCCATCTTCTATTCACTTTGCATCGGAACTTCAAAATGCGATGCTGTCATTCAAGTGCTGGCTGTGCGAGAATTTGTTGTCAGTGCCGCCGATAATGGTGCTTTCTAAAGATGGAAAACAATTGAAATGCGGAAGATGTAAAAACAACGAGGAGAAACCGTCGATTTGCAGGAATTTCGCTTTCGAAAATGTGGCAATGTTTTCCTCAGTTCCTTGCATGTACAAAGATTGCAATAAAATAACGCCGTGGAAAGAGGTGGAAAGACATGAAGACGCTTGTGATAAAAAGACGATCAAATGTCCAATCTATTACGAAGAATGTGAAGGGATTTTTCAGGTGGACAGCGTGGTTTCGCACTGCCGCCGTTTTCATGCCGACAAGATATTTTTTAACACTTTCAACTATGAATTGTCTACCCATCCATTATCACGCATGATATGTTTCTTGGCATACAATGGTGATCATCCTCAAAACTTCATTCTGATGATCATAAATACGTTTAGTTCGTCGGAGGTATATGTTGCTTCCCTCAAAGAAATCGATGAATGTTTCAGATACGATTTGAAATTATCCAGCACAAAAAACGGCACCTCTGTCACATATGAAGATCAGCCTATCAGTAAATATGTTGAGATGGATCATTGTCTCACGTGTATGGTTGCTGAATGCGATTTGCCTCGGTATCCCCATACAAAAATGCAACAACGTATCCCTGTTAATATTCATTTCAAAAAAATTGATCTAACTGTCATGAAACCTCTTTTTGGTGATATTTCCAAAATTAAATTCACCATTACAATCGTGCCGAAGGAAAAATATTCCGATTCATCGTTGGGTACCGTGAATCAATGTTTGAAAAAAGAATTATGTTGTCCTATATGCATGGAATACATGATCAGTGAAATCTACAACTGCGAAAAAGGACATGTTTTGTGTAACACCTGCAAAATCCAGCTGACTGAATGTCCTTCATGTGGAACAAATATTGGAGAATCAAGAAGTTTTCCTTTGGAGAATTTGGCTGATGAAGTAGTGCTCACTTGTCTGTTTTACAAAAACGGCTGTAAGTTCACTGGAAAACTAAAATCTCTTTCTTCACATGAGAAAGAATGTGTACATAAACAGGACAGTAATCCTGATAAGGATTGATTATTATAGTTGTATTTTTTATGTTACAGTTTTTCACTGGACTATAATCATGCTCTCAGTGTATCAGGGTGTTTCATTGGGAAAGGTAAATAATTCAACTGTGGATAGGGGTCACTGGGGTGATTCAAAAAAACCCATGGTTAATGGGTCTTCGATTTCTTATAACCGAGATACAGGATGTTTCATCAATTTTGCCCATATCTTGATTGTCTCATAATTTTCCAACCAACCCGTATATATTTTTAAAAATTGGTAAACTTGCTCAATGTACCCTGTGGAATTGATTGAGGCAACAACAAAAGATAAAATCCAGGTCCGGCTTCACTTAACATTCACAAATTCTTTCTGCCAGAAAACAACACCCTATACATTCGAATTTCTCATTTTTTTTTTGCCATATCTGAAAATAACATCAAAATTCCTATTCAACGATGTGCTTTTTATTCGTGCACAGACGATTTTGACTATTCATATTATGTGCTCAAAATATTATTTTTGCTCATTTTGGGGTACAGAATTGGAATCAGACTAGATTTATTAATTTTATTACTTCCTATTCAGTATACGTGAGTATAACATTCAGAAGGAGTATTTCTTATCGTTCTTTGTTCCAGACTTAGTTGCAGGTCCGTCATCAAAACTATAAAGGGCTTTTCACGATGAGCGTTAATTTGACGTTTTCGGCAAACCAGGCAACGGATAAATCTTAAATTTCAATGGTATGTATAAATTAACATAATCTACACTACTGAAATATTTGAAACGATCCGGCCTTGCCGCTTCTACTAGAAAGTAGCAGAAACTTCGATTTTTCAAATGGGACTCCCTGTATTTCATTACATTCTTGGATTCTTGCTGAACAGCAGAATTCATCGATTCAAAACATTCAAGGTCTAGCGGGACTGATAACTGAGATATAGGATGTGGAAAATCGAGATGTTTCAACTTTAGGAATGTTTTGTGTTGAAACTATTTATTATTGCATGGTCAAAACGGCTTCAATGTCCCTATCTCAACTTCCCATTCGATATTCAATTGACACAGATGGAGGGTGGCGCAGAAATCTGAATTATGAACGATCCTGGATTTGTTTCGATTAAATGTCAATAGATACAAAGTTAAGATAGGGACATAAAAGCCGTTTCGATCAATAATAAATATTTTAAAGTTGAAACATCTCTATTTTTCTCACTCTAAATATCTCAGTCATTAGTCCCACTAGACCCCGAACTTTGTGAATCGATTAAATCAGCTCTTCAGGAAGCATCCATCAGGGTGTCCCATTTGAAAAATCAAAGTTACTGCTACTTTCGAGTAGAAGCGGCAACGCCGGATTGTTTCAAATATTTCAGACGTGTAGATCATGTTAATTTATACATACCTTCGAATTTTCAGATTTATCCGTTGCCTGGTTTGCCAGAAACATCTAATTAACGCTTATCGTGAAAAGCCGCCTGTAAAGTTTTGATGACGGACCTGCAACTAAGTCTGGAACAAAGAACGATATGAAATACTCCTTCTAAATGTTATACTCACGTATACTGAATAGGAAGTAATAAAATTAATAAATCTCGCCTGATTCCAATTTTGTACCCCAAAATGAGCGAAAATAATATTTTGAGCACATAATATGAATAGTTAAAATCGTCTGTGCACGAATGAAAAGCACATCGTTGAATAGAAATTTCGATGTTCTTTTCAGATATGGCAAAAAAAATGGGAAATTCGAATGTATAGGGTGTTGTTTTCTGGCAGAAAGAATTTGTGAATTTTAAGTGAAGCCGGACCTGGATTTTATCTTTCGTTGTTGCCTCAATCAATTCCACAGGGTAGATTGCGCAAGTGTATCAATTTTTAAGAATATATACAAGTTGGTTGGAAAAATTGATGAAACATCCTGTATCTCGGTTATAAGAAGTCGAAGACCCATCAACCATGGGTTTTTTGAAATCACCTCAGTGACCCCTATCCACAGTTGAATTATTCACCTTTCCAAATGAAACACCCTGTATATATCCTTCAATAAATACATATGGGAACTAAAGACAAAAACAGTGCGAAAAAAGTTCCAGCTAGTGCGACAAGTGGAAATAAACGGTATTAGTGTTTAATTATAAGTAGGTACAGAAAATATGTTTAATTTCAAGTCCCCAATCTAACTTTTGTTGATGAATCCACATTAAAAAATTCAGTATATAGGGTTTCATCATTATATTTTCCTTACGTATACACGTCTGGCAAGAATAATTTTCCTATAGAGAAACCGTGTAAGGAAATGAATACCCATGTTGATTCAAAAAGAGGAAAAAAGCATCGTTGCCTCACCTCTACTTGAGTATGGCACGTGTGGCAAACGATAATTCCTTCCTTTGTTAAAATGTCCATGAATCTAATGCGTATTCACTTCATCATGCGGTTTTTCTAAAATATTCTTGACAGACGTGTATGAGTATTATTGACGACTACTACTACTATACAGGGTGTCCCTAGACCAATGGGACAGTTAAATATCTTCTGAACCAATAGGAATTTTCAAAATATTATAATTCCACATCATATCGCATTATGAGTGCTAACTTCAGGAATGACTATATTTTATACGAGGGGCGCAAGAGAGGCTCACAAAATCGAACATGAATTTTTTCGAATAGAACACCCTGTATTTCATTGCATTTTCATATTCTCCTTGAAGAGCTGAATTCAACGACCTTGCACATTTGGGGTCTAGCGGGAATGATTTCCGAAATATAGGGTGTGGAAAATCGAGATTTTTCATTTTTGGGAATTTTTTGTGTCAAAACTATTCATTATTGGTCAAAACGGCTGACATGTCCATATCTTAACTTCTGATTTACTATTTACTCGTATTCAATTTAAACAAATACAGGGTGGTGTAGAATTCTCAGTTTTAGTCGTAATTCCACACCACCCTGTATTTGTTTCAATTAAATACGAGTAAATAGTAAATCAAAAGTTAAGACATGACATGTAAGCCGTTTTGACCAATAATGAATAGTTTTGACACAAAAAATTCCCAAAAATGAAAAATCTCGATTTTCCACACCCTATATCTCGGAAATCATTCCCGCTAGAGCCCAAGTGTGCTAGGTCGTTGAATTCAGCTCTTCAAGGAGATTATGAAAATGCAATGAAATACAGGGTGTTCCATTTGAAAAAATTTATGTTCGATTTTGTGAGCCTTTCTTGCGCCCCTCGTAGAAAATATAGTCATTCCTGAAGTTAGCACTCATAATGCGATATGATGTGTAATCAAAATATTTCGAAAATTCCTATTGGTTCAGGAGATATTCAACTGTCCCACTGGTCTAGGGACACCCTGTATATTATGGAAAAATGAAAATGATTGTTTTAAATGGACCTAGATATATTTCACAAATTTGAATATAGATTTTTATCATCTATAGTACCAAGCAATTGAAGTGGGACACCTGCTCGCTCAGATTCGTAAGATTAATTATATAATGAGTTACAAAATATACATATCATTGGGTGCACAATGGTTTGATGATCTGCTGTGTGTGCATCCTACTACTCTATATATACATATCTATTCAACATATACCTAATTTGCTAAAGAGGTTAACAGAGAAAAACTATGAATACATTTCAGCTTCATAAATCATCTAATGTCAACTCACTGTCGATTTATACATTTATTCATTTGTGATTTCACTAGTTTGTAAGGCTTATTTTTAATGTGCAGTGGTAAAACATTATACATTTTTGGTCTAATACAACATACAGTGTGTCCCACTTACCATGCTCACCATGGGTATCTTTTTAACGGTGAGAGATACGAGGTCGGTTAAATGACACCAAATGTGAAGTTTGTCCAGGCCAACTATAATGTGAAAAAATATTTTGATAAAATCTATTAGTTTTTGTTTTATATGCAAAAAACAGATTTTGATCATTTTCAACTCTCCTCCGTAACTTCTTTATTCAGGAAAATATTCAAATAGGAATTTTACATTCTCATGGCAGTTTTTCGAAGTGATTTCGAGAAAAATATGAAATTTATACCAACTCTTCTAGAATTTGAGATATCAACACCAACTTGAGTTTTTCAAATGTAGGTCATAGCTCACTATGACTTAGTTACAAATAACTTTTTTTCCTCTTTCATATGATATGTTGCAGTAATAGTGTTGTGTTGATAACAACGGAGTTATCGTCGTTTATACAAAATCAAAAAATTATTTGGAAGCCGCCATCTTGAATTTATAAATTTTAACAAGAAAATCATGATCTCCGATCTCAAAAACCCCCACTTACCAATTTTGAATGGAATCGGACCAAATCTTGTCCGCCATCTTGGAGCAGCCATTTTTTTTTAATTTCAACAAAAATGCCATAACTCCGACTAACTTTAAATTTGGCAGGTGTTCATAATTTCGGTGACAATACATTATGGAATTTTTGTTGAAATTAAAAAAAAATGGCTGCTCCCAGATGGCGGACAAGATTTGGTCCGATTCCATTCAAAATTGGTAATTAGGGGTTTTTGAGGTCGGAGATCATGATTTTCTTGTTAAAATTTATAAATTCAAGATGGCGGCTTCCAAATAATTTCTTGTTTTTGTATAAATGACGATAACTCCGTTGTTATCAACACAAAACTATTACTGCAACATATCATCTGAAAGAGGAAAAAAAGTTATTTGTAACTAAGTCATAGTGAGCTATGACCTACATTTGAAAAACTAAAGTTGGTGCTGATATCTCAAATTCTAGAAGAGTTGGTGTAAATTTCATATTTTTTTCAAAATAACTTTGAAAAACTGCCATGAGAATATGAAATTCCTATTTGAATATTTTCATAAATAAAGAAGTTACGGAGGAGACATGAAAATGATCAAAATCTGTTTTTTGCGTATAAAACAAAAACGAATAGATTTTATCAAAATATTTTTCCACTTTATAGTTGGCCTTGACAAACTCCACATTTGGTGTCATTTAACCGACCTCGTATCTATCACCGTTAAAAAGATACTCATGGTGAGCATGGTAAGTGGTACACACTGTATATGTGCGCTTGTGGACATTCTGTCTAGCCACAGCTCTGGTATTTGGTTGGTGTTTTAAAGCATTTCTATAATATTTTTTCAGAATCATAAATCTTATAGTTGATTTCATGTAAAGTTGTTCAATATTTAATAATTTGCTATCTTGGAATAATAAAATTGTGGGAAAAGTTTTGTTTTTATACAACATTATTTTTATTATATACTTTTGTGCCATTGTATTCATTCGAGCATTGCCCCATAGTACCAGCCCATAATTAATTACAGATTCTAACTAGTGCCGAATATACTGTTTGTGAGATTTTTTGATTCAAAATATTCCTTAGCTCATAAAACTTGTAAATCAATTTTCTTTTTTTAATGGTTACAAAGTTTACATGGAATTTCCATGTCTAGTTTTCATCAAGTAATATGCCTAGATATTTTATATATTCCTTTCTCTCTATTCTATTTCTACATTTACTAGAAGTAGTTCCAATTTTACATTTATGTTCATGGATTTTTAAGGAGCAGAGTCCTGGCAAAGTTTCCTGGGTTAGGCCAAAAGCTATGAATTTAGTCTTTTCAACATTCAATGTTATAATCTAGCCACCTTTTTATTTTAGTGATTGCCACTTCGGCCTTTTGAACGGTAGATTCCCAGGTATCGCCATAACTACTATTATGAAAGTATCATCAGCAAAGCAATATATATACTTTATACCTACAGACGTTATATCGTTAATGTAGATATTGAAAAGCAGTGGCCCCAGCACAATACCTTGTGGCAATTTGGTTTTCAGATTTTTAAATATAGTGTGTTCCAATTCTGAAACTGTTCACAAGAACATTTTCACGGCCAATGGACCCATAGAAAATTGATACCACTTGAGACTGATTCACCTATCAATACAGAGTTCTATACAGGCTTCAATTTGTATTTGTAAATGAATATAGCAATGGTGTCATGTTAAGTGTATTTTATCGTATCTCAATCGTTTCGACGATCACAAGATCACATAGATCATTTCTGGTTTCAAAAACCAGAGCCTAAGCTGGATTAAGTCCTATAATCTCTCTGATCGAATCCAATCTGTTAAAACTCTCACGCTCTCAGACACTGGCTCAGTCAAACATGGCGTACCCCAGGGTTCTTTACTTGGACCAATCCTATTCCTACTTCATTTTGATGACTTAGCTAATCAAAAAATTAATGGAACATTCACTATTTTTGCCGATGACACAACCATCCTATGGCAGGATACAAATGGACAAAATCTTCAGGATAAAAAAGCCCGAGATATCTCAAGGATGAGAGAGTGGTTTAACTCTAATCTACTCTCTTTCCAAAACCAAACTCTTATCCTTCACATGTGACCTTGCGGACATCTCTTTAGGTAGCGAAATGAGTATTTCACAAACAGATAGCACAAAATATCTTGGTATCCACTGAGATACTAACTTGAACTTTCAAAAGCATGTTGAAACCTTGGGTAAAAAATTAGCATCAGGCTGTTACGCACTACGAATCATCTCTAACGAATTGGGTCATGCTACTTCAAAAATAGTGTACCATGCATTAATCGAGTCACACATTACATATGGCATAAATTTTTATTGCAAAGGCATACTATATTTGATACCTTTGTAAAGTTGGACCTAGAGCATCGTGTAAACCATTATTCAAACAGCAAAAATCCTTACCCTTGAGTCATTACTGATCCTAGAAACAATATGTATAGTGCACAAAAATAAATCTGCATACGAGATCGTTGTCGGGCCCTATCCACCAGAATAACAACTTGAGACTACCTATCCCTTCAACGACTTTATTAAAAAGTCTCTAGTATATGCCGCTTATATCTCAAAAACATTTCCTCACCTGACCATTTCAGAAAATCTGTGAAGCAATGAACTCTTGTAGAAATTGTATTGTATAGTGTTGAAGATTATTTCCTCATAGATTGGGATGATTCTGCAAATTAATTAACAATATATTAACAATTAGAAATCTGTTTTATAGTTAAACAAACCACAAAAACTGTATCATGTTATACCAGTTGTAATATTTTCAAAAAATTATTTTGGCGTTGTGATATTTCATAATTAATCACTAATATTATATTGCTTCCATTAGATTCCTTTTGGGAACAAGGTGATATATTTTTTTTGTCTCTTGTCTGTATCTATGTTGTATGTTCATGTATTTTTTTCTATATTTTAATATATTAACTGTTCTGCCTAGGCTTTGTCAATAAGATAGTTTATCTTCGACAATAAAGTATACTTTTGATTGATTGATTGATTTATTCTTCCTTCATAATCCTGAAGTGGGATGTGATGTCATGAAACGATTTGGAATTTTTTGTAATCAGGTTGATAATTTCAAACTGGTATATTTTTTTGGTGATATCTACACATATACATGTATATAGGAACATATTCAATCTGGTGGCTTTTACTGTTTAGAAGTTATGCGGGAAATTTATTTCAATTTCATCAACTTCGGAAGGATATATCCCTAGATATACGTTTGGGCCAAAGTTTATTCATCAAACTAAACTGATTTTTCAATGAACTATCACCTCCAAAAAGCTCGGTACACATTTTTGACTCACCGGTGAGTTTATACAGGGCCCTGTATTTATAAACAATATATCTACCCATGAGGAATATCAACTATCTGGCAATGATTTCG